ATATATATATATATATATATATATATATATATATATATGGTCTTATGTTAAGGTGTTAAGGTCTTATGTTCAAGTCTTTAATCCACCCGGAGTTAATTTTAGTGTAAGGTGTCAGGAAGGGGTCCAGTTTCTGCTTTCTGCACATGGGTAGCCAGTTTTCTCAACACCATTTATTAAACAGGGAATCCTTTCTCCATTGCTTGTTTTTGTGAGGTTTGTCAAAGATCAGATGGTTGTAGACGTGTGGCGTTGCCTCCGAGGCCTCTGTTCTATTCCATTGGTCTATATCTCTGTTTTGGTACCAGTACCATGCTGTTTTGACTACTGTAGCCTTGTAGTATAGTTTGAAGTCAGGTAGTGTGATGCCTCCAGCTTTGTTCTTTTTGCTTAGAATTGACTTGGCTATGTGATCTTATTTTTCTTTACACTAAATGTTTACATACTTTGCCGCTCCTTGGAGGAGGGTTATGAATTAAATACTTAGCACATTGCAGGTGTTTAATAAACATCCAATAAACGAACATCAATGCATTTAAAAGTAATGAATTTTATAACTAAAAAAACCCCTCCAGAAATCTCAGATTTTTATTTGTAATCTTTCTAGAGTAAAGAAACAGATCATCCAAACCCACCGGGAACAGACAGAGCAAACTCATTCGGTAAAAGAGAAATGACTATAAGTAAAATGGGGTCAAGGTTCATGTCTTCAGGCAGATACATTTGACCCAGTTTCTCAATATTTCTGTTCCTAAATCCCCCGAGTCAGTCCCAACTTACTGCCTTTTAGAGATCTCACTTCTTTTTTTTTTTTTTTTTCATAGCAGGATTTCAGGCACGTTTATTCATGGCAGATATTTTTGGTCAGGGCAGCCTGCCTTTGAAATCGTTCCAGTACTTAAAGAGGTCGACTCCTGCCTAAGTCACAACTCTCCTACGACTGCAATCGGCCATATCATTTCCACTTGCCACTTATGAGGCTTGAGAACATTCAGCAGAGATGCAGGTTTCAGCTGGTCTGGTCAAGGCCTGCACAGTGTGTACGGGGCATTCTGGGGGCTCAATCCTGCAGCACAGCCTACTTGCCTGATCAAAGGAGGTTCTGTAGTTGGGTACCATGGGGGTGAATTCATTTTATTAAAGGAGGATTCAACTCCTTTATGTTCCCCATGTAATCTGTCTATAGGACAAAGTATTTCTTACTATTATAAATTTGCAATATAAACACCAAGACTGGTGTGGTGATACAAGTTACTTAAAAAAGTCACGTCTTTCAATTTTTCAAGTTTTTATGTAAAAGCACTTTGTGGTGACAATCACATGGATCACCTTCCAGGTTATCAGCATCAGCCTGGAGGCTCAGCACTCAAGGCACTGCGTTTTTGAGTGACTAGAGTTAAAAGGTTATTATCCCTGTCTTCTATAATCAACAATAACGCTGTTACTCTGCAAGAATTTCGATAAGCAACAGCTGAAGTAAAACAGTATTTCTTAAAAACTTGAGTCTACAAGTCATTGATCATATTCTAGCCAAGCAACCAGCATGGATTTCATATGGTCTCTTTTCCTTCTTTCTTTCTTTTCTAGTCAGTAGCTCAAAGGAAAGATGGAATGACTGAGTTTTAAAATCCTGCCAGATTTTTTTATGGTAACCATTGTAGATGAACCGTTGTAGGGTCCTACTGAAGTATTAGAATCTCATGCAAAACTCTAACAAATGCCTCATTACAGAAGGCTATTCTGTTATTTTCTGTACTGTAAAAGTTCTAACAAGAAAGTGGCAGTGGCTACTTTTCATTGACTTCAGCATGTGATCTCAGGGACTTAGATATAAGTCTAAGTTCTATTCTGAGTTTTAGCAACAGAGCAGTGACAGATATTCCTGAATAAGCAATCTTTAGGTGTTTTTAGCCATTTGAAAAGTATTGCCAACACACTATTTGGTGTCAGCTCAACAGTCACTTTGTGCTGAGAATGAAAGAACCCTAAAGTCTACAAACATCTGACTTCACCAAGACTAGAAGGGTTTACTACTTGTCCAATAAAAAATGACACAGCAACTTTTATCCAAACAGCAACTACTACAAAAGGAATGGCAAGAAAAAAAATATGACTTCACAAAAATACACTGAAAAATCTGACAATTTTATGCAGGAACCGCCAAAGTTTTAGTGTTTAATAATGAACAGCACAACTGACCAAGGTCCAAGATGTGAAGATACCATGTTCAAGAAACTGGGGGGCAAATCGCTCTATAAACTAAGTATACAGAATGTGGTAAGAATGCACACGTTATAATATAAACCTGTCTACACATCGTAGTTAGCTGCAGAAAGCCATTCAGTTTTCTCTTGGCTTGGAAAAGTGGTGTTCCAGATTCCGGTATAAATTATTAGCAACCTTCAGCTCTTTTGTGTGGCAGGTACCTTGTTTTCACCTTCCAGTTCTTCCACCCCAGCCTGTGTCATGAGGTCTGCGATGTTCTTCTCCAGATCATCAATGCCACTACTCATGTCATCGATTATCCCAATGATCTGGTCAGACATGGTCTGAAATTTATCTTGCATCTGCTGCAGCAGTGTCTGCACCACCGAGGTGAGATCCTGCACAGTCTTGGGGTCAGTCTCGGCCATCTCCCCGACGCCCAGCTTGGTGGTGATTTCTAGAGATCTCAATTTTATTGTAAGATAGCTTCTTACATGGAAACATTTACCACTTGTGCCCATATATATATATATATATATATATATATATATATATACACACACACACACATGCACACACACACCCTGTGTATTAAACTGCCTGATAAACTGTATCATAAACTATGTTGAGTAAACTCATAAATGAATCTTTTACTTATCTCCCAGGGTAAACTGCCAACTTTCAAATATTCTTTGGTTTTCCCACGTGAGTCATACACCTTCCAGCATTTGTAGCCCCAGGGCTGCCTATGCATATGACTGCGTCTTAGCTCTCGACCTAGAGAAGGTATACTTAAGTCTTTGCTGGAGCCAGCATCTTTGCCAGGTGCCCTCATTGTGTTTTTGTCATACACACCGAAGGGAACTGCAGGATGCTGTGTCCAGATGTGCACACTGGTTTACAGACCACCCACATCCGGTAGAGCGATCCCACTGAGGGGCCGCGGCAGACGTGAGGGTCTTCCTGCCTCCATTCCAACCTTCCTCTGAAACGCTGCTGTGATTTGGACCTCTCTGAAGCTTGAGCCTCCCAATCGATGAAGCACGAGAAGGTGCAGCCTACCCTAGTTACAGGCAGCTACATGCAGATTACTAACGGCAGGTAAATTAGCCACAGGCACCTTTGGAACCAGTAGCAGGTGTGGCACATCGGAGCCTCCTTGGAATCAGGAGCAAGTGCAGGAGCGTCGCACGGCAGGCCGGGACTGCTGCCTCCCAGAAGGCCTGCTCCGGGGTTGGCCCTTGGCTGCTGTCCCGGGACTTGGATTTCAGGAGGGTTCCTTCTACTCTAGCTGGTAAAAGTGGCTCACTGTATCTAAATAATGTGTGCAAACAGTGTGGTTTATGCTGAACACGTGCTTTCCTCTTCTGGGAGTCTGGAATTTTTCAGAACATGCCAGGCAGAAGGTGCCTACATGGCCAGTGCCCACCATAAAAACCCGGGCTCTGAATCTCTAGTGAGCTTCCCTGGTTGACAGCATCTCAAACGTATTGTTGCAATTCATTGATGGAGGGATTCTGTGCTTCCTCTGGGATTCCACTGGAGAGGACTCTGGGATCTCGGGCCTGGCTTCCTCCAGACCTCAACCATGCATTTTTCCCTGTGCTGATTTTGCTCTGCATCTTTTTTGCTGCAGAAAATGAGCGCAATTGTATGGCAAGTCCTGTGGTCCCTCCTGCTGCGCAATCACTGAGCCTGGGGTGTTATTGGGGCCCCAACTCAGAAAGGGATAGGAATTAACGCACCTCTTAGAGCACACAGATGAGCAATGTTCTTCCAGCTTTCTTTCCCTGAGATTTTCTCTTCCAATAAACTCATACTGTGTCTATTTAAGGCATTTCTAACTGAGTGCTGGGATAGGGAGGGCACTGCAGCAGCATACGATTTCCCCCTTACCTCAAGAAAAATTCAGTGAAATAACTCAGAATATAGAGCAAGTACCAAATGACGCTATAAAGGTTTCAGCATAACTGGAGTCCAGTGTTTTTAAAATGTGGGTCAGTGAAGGCCGGAGTATGAAAGAGGGTAAGATTGAAGGTGGATCTTAAGGATGATGTGGCTGGCAGAATAATGGCCCGCAGAGAGGTGCAAACCACAGCCCACCGAAGCTGGGACTGTGTGAAGCTACATGGCAAAGGGAAATCAGGTAGTAGATGGAATGAAGGTTACTAATCAGCTGACCTTACCATAGGGAGATCATCCAGGTGGACTCAATATAATGATTACATGGTCCTTACATGTGGAAAAGGGTGGTGTGCCTGCAGTCCCAGCTACTCAGGAGGCTGTGGTGGGAGGATTGCTTGAGCCCACTCCAGCCTGGGAGACAGAGCAAGACCGTGTCTCTTAAAAAACATAAATAAGTGTAAGATGGGGGCAGGAGAGAAGGAAAGAGTGATGTAACATGAGAAGGACTCACCCGGTATTGTGGGCTTTCAATATGGAAGAAGAGGCCGAGAGCCAGGGCGGGCAGCTGGGGAGAAGCTGAAAAGACAGGGAGCAGATTCTCCGTTGCAGCCTCCAGGAGGAGTCTGCTCTGTGACGCCTTCATTTTGTCCAGCGACACCGTGTTGCACTTCTGACCTGCAGAACTGTAAGACTGTAAACCTGTGCTGTGGTAAGCCATTAGGCTTGTGATAATTTGTGACAGCCACCCTAGGAAATGAGATTTATAGTTATTTTTGGAGGTGAAGAGGAGACCAGCAAAAGGAATGGATGAGCCTGTCTAGGCCCCGATGGAGATTTAATGAAGATTCGGAGATTTCGGATCCTATCGAGGGCCCTGCGTCCCCCGTGCCCTGCAGACACCAGCGAGATGAGGCGCTGGGAGAGTTTGCACATGGCTGGCGGTTCTGTACCCCCCAGGCCTACACAGTATGTAATGTTGTCATCAACAATTCAATGTCCACAACCCTAAGAGGCAGGAACCATTGGGCTAAGCCATAGTAACAGGAAGGAGGATGGTTAAAGCGGCTTCACTCAGGGCAGTCTCGGGGCTCCCCCGACTTTCCCCACTGGGAGCCTGTCTCCTGCCTTCACTCCAACTGAGGCATCTTCTTCCAGTCGCTACTTGTGATTCATCCCCCAGTGCCTGAGGACACGCCTTCAGCCTCTCTCTCCTGAGGTTCCCCTGCCTTTCCAGGAGGCCCTGGGAGGGCAGGACCCCCTGCTGGCTCTCTGATGCGTGGCCCAGCTCTGGCCTGTGGGAAACACATGTGTGCCCCTTGCCCAGCACATGCTGGGGGTGCCACCACTCCCAGAGCAGATGGCACTTGACGCTACCACCCAAGGGCCTTTCTGATTTCCAGGACAGGAGTCAGAGCCCCATCTGCAGGTGAATCTGGCGTTCTCAGGAGTGAGCTGACACCTGTGCTCTCAGCAAACCTGTTGCAAGCACCCTTGAACTCCTGTGCTAAGCTTGGCTTGGAAAGCGTCAAGGGAGGGTGGGGCCCGCAGCTGGAAAGGCTCTCACCTCCTCTCTCACCCGAACCCATTTTATGTCTCTGCTCTGGCCAAGGGGTAAATCTGCACATGTGTCTCATACACTTTGGCTCTTCATGGACTTGGTCGCTATAGAAGCCGGGCCAAGAAGACTGTAACATCTTTCACTATAATTTACTGAGCTTTTACTTTGTGTCAGGCACCATTCTAAGGAGTTTATATGTGACAGTGGATGGATTTCCACCATTCTTGTTTCCATCTTGAGAAAGAGCACCCTTTCCCCAGGATCAGGAAAAACAGCCAGGGCCACAGAGGAGGGCCTTTTGTGAGGCTGTCAGACATGAAGAAGGGGTGCCGGCATTCCATTAGCAACACGCAGCGGAAGAGTCATGCTGGGTTCACTGCTCCCTGCGGGCGTTGTCTTCCTCAGCCTGGCTGCCACTGCACGACCTCATGGCTTGTGTGGCTTAAGCAGCAGACATATTTTCTCACTGTTCTGGAGGCTGGGAGTGTGAGATCAGAATGCCAGCATGGTCCGTGAGGGCTCCCTTCCTGGCTTACAGGCAGCTGCGTTCTCGCTGTTTCTTCATACTGGCAAAGAGTGAGTGACAGCAAGCTCCCTGGTGTCCCTAGTCCCTCATGGAAACTTCATTACCTTCCGAAGGTCCCATCTCCAGATACAATCACATTGGGGGTTAGGGCTCAACACATGTATTTGGGGGACATCGTCTGGTCCATAGCAGGCGCTGTCTGAGTCAGAAGGCCTCCCAGGGATTTGGTCCTGAGGTGGGTGTGGCAGGAGCCCTTCCTTCATCACTTCTGCACCTGCTCCATCGAAAGAACTAGACAGACAGATTGGCAGCTCAGGCCAAGCAAGACAGATGGGAAGGAGGGTGAACAGGGAGGTTTCTGGAGATCAGGAAGGTAGGAATTAAGGAGGTTGCAGAGAAAGAAAAAGGGGCTCCATGAAGAGGAGAGGTCTCTAAAAGCCAGGAAAACAAGTGAGGAGGTGAGAGCCAGTGTTTAGCACGCAACTGTGACCTGGTGGTGGGAGCCAGGGAGCTGACCAGATCGGAGGAACCCTTCCTGTCCTTCATAGAGGCAGATTATTACTGGTCTGCAATTGTCACTCCTAGAGTAAGAAATCACTGTGTCCATTTTCTAGACTTCTCTCACTGGTGACGATTTGACCTCTTCCTCTTGCTCAAATGAGCAAGGTGGAGGAAAGAGGTCTCTCTCTCACACACACATATACTGTCCCATTCAATGCCCACCAATCCTAAGAGGCAGGAATGATTGGGTTAAGCCATAGTAAACTGCCCTTCTGTAGGTCAAGAAGTGGAACATAGGTGATGTCACAGAATTCAACCTAATACTACCATCAATGCCATTACACAGATGGAGGTACCGAGGCTTTGGAAGGTTAAGTCATTTGCTCAAGTCACGCATTTGGTGACTCAGGGAGCTTGGATTTGAACTGGGGCCTAACTCCCAAACCTGCTGTGGCAGGCTGCCAGCCATGGAAACGGGTTCCTGTGGGAATGTGTAAGAGACGAGGTTGCTGACTATGACTTTGAGATGCCAGGAGGAGACCTGTGCAGGTGCCACTGGGAAGCCCTGAAGACAGAAAGGCAGAGTGGCCAAGTGGAATCAACGGGGAAAGGGTGAGGAGGCAGGAGGGCAGGCAAGCCGCTGCGAGACCGGAGGAAATTTACCGGGATCGTGAGGTGCTGGAAGGAGTGATCAGAGAACCTGGGACCATGCTCTGCATGTTTTTGCTGCAATAAATGGTATTGCATGAGATACCATTTATTGCCAGGTGTCCTCATTGTGGTCATTTTTGGCATTTTATATGACAAAAAAAGTGATGGGGTGATTTTTCCGTATGTGCACACCTATTTACACACTACCCAGACCAGGAGTGCTGATCTGAGCTCACTCGATATGCTCATTAGGTAATAATCAATTTAGGTGGTCAAATTGGTCACCCAAAGCAATTTAGGTAATTGACATAA